GAAATTAAGGCTTTATTTTATCAATACTATACATGTCAAGAATATTTTAGTCCTTAATAGTAAAATTAAAGTAAGCTTTCGGTATATACTCGGTACTTGAGCTATGACATACACGCCCCTTGGTGTGTATACTTTATTTGATTACTAACATATTCTCTTGAAAATATTCTTACACCATTTGCAACTTCCAGAGCAGACTAATGACTCGTGTTTATTCTTAGAAAGATGTCTCATTTACACGAATGGTATATAATACCGACAAGATGGAGATTAGACACATTTGGAACATTTGGGTATCTGAAGACAAGCAGATGTTCTACTTGTGTCTAACTATTCATTTCGTCGGTATTATATACCATTCATGTACAACTTGTCAGATACTGCAACATCCCTCGGGTATGACCTACTTCCACTGGGGAATCCCGCCTACCAGTGAAAATGCCTTCGTCTGCTGCACATCTCAAAGCTGAGGGACTGATTATCTCATCTTTTGCACATAGTTCTACTTTCTTCACGTCACGTCTTTGTATTGGGTTGATAAAGTCACTGGATGGCAAAACGTCTGCAAATAAAGATACGATGTTACACCTGTCTAATTCTTCTTGTATTATTTACCCTGGAGATTCCCGAAGACACTCTTGTACATTTTTACTGCTAGATAGGTATAGGGTGCACAATAAAGCTGTAAAACAACTACCATGACAAAATAATTAATATATGCATGTTAGTGGCTCTTTGAATGACTCTCAGTCTTGTATTATGCTGCATGTAAATAAAAGGCTGAAGCGGTTTATGCATATGCGGCTACATACGAAATGCTGATTGAAACTGTTTGATCTTGGGGTGGGAACTCTGCAGACAGCACATATGTAAACGTGGAAGCAGCTACACCATTTATTGATAACGACATGACTTCGATATCCTTTCAGTCGCGATTTAGCTAACAATAATATACACACGTACATGCACTCGCATGTATACCGGGGTACAATTTGTACAATTTTTTTCCTTACAGATAAGAGGGCATGGTCTTCCATTTATTAAATACACACAGGCACCCTGCATTCATATGTCAAGTAGGTAATATTCTGGAGAATATCTTCACGAGGGAATGTGACAAACGCAGGGGCAAGGAACTGCCCTCACCGTGTGATGAATGATGGCTGGTTGAGTGAGTAGCTCTTTCTCCCTCACCTCCAGGAAGACTGTGAAAATAGCACATACGTCTTGTTATTAGCGGACAAAGGATGGAACCTTCAGAACTCCTCTGCCCGAATGATCTATATATATGTATCTATTTATTATATGTATATATATACATGGATTTATCTATGTATTTGTGTACTCACCTATTTGTGGTTGCTGGGCCGAGTCAGAGGTCCTCGCCCCGAGTCTTCACTGGTCGCTACTAGATTCACTCTCTCCCTGCTCCATGACCTTTACCGTATCTCTTCTTAAAGCTATATATGGAACCTTCCTCCACTACATCACTATCCAGATTGTTACACTTCCTGAAAACTCTTTGACTGAAGAAATACTTCTAACATCTCAGTGACTCATCTGAGTTTTCAACTTCAAGTTGTGACCTTGTTAATGTGTCCCATCTCTGAAACATCCTCTCCCTATCCTCCTTGTCAGTTCCTCTCAGTATTTTCTGTCTTTATCATGTCCTCCAGTGTCTTCAGGTTGATTTCCCTTAACCTCTTCTCGTAGGACATACACCTTAGTTCCGGTGCTGCATACTCCAATATGGGCACGACGTACACGGTATAGAGTCTAGAATGATTTCTTACTCAGCTGCCGAAACGCCGTTTCGCAGTTATTCGGTTGATGTACGCCTTAGAAGATGTTTTCGGTATTATATTCGCCCAAGATCCTTTCCTCGAGTGAGGTTTGCTGTCTTTGGCTCCCTAGCCTGTAATCTGGCTGCGGTCTTCTTTGACCATTCCCAATCTTCATGACTTTGCACTTGGTGGAGTTAAACTCCAGGAGCCAGTCGTTAGATCAGGCTTGCAGCCCTTTGGTCCTCATCCACTTGAATTCTCCGCAGTAACTTCACCTCATCTGCAATCAGGGACACCTCAAAATCTGTACCTTCTGTCTTGTTATTCATATATACCAGAAACAGCACCGGCCTTAGGAAAGACCCTTGTGGAACCTCGCTCATCACAGACGCCCACTCTGACATCTCGTGACGTACAATCACTCGTTGTTTTCCTTCCTGTCAAATACTGTGTGGTTCATTTCAGTGCTTTTCCTGTTATTCCTGCCTGCTCCTCTAGGTTTTTCACTAATCTCTTGTGCGGAACTGTGTCGTAAGCCTTCTTACAGTCCAAGAAAATGCAATCTACCCACCTCTCTCTCTCTCTCTCCCTCCCTCTCTCTCTCCTACCTTATTTCTGTCACCTTGCCGTAAAGCTCCAGTAGATTTATGACACAGGATTACTCCTCCTTGAAACTCATATGGGCCCTTCTGGACACTGTGTGTGTGTGTGTGTGTGTGTGTGTGTGTGTGTGTGTGTGTGTGTGTGTGTACTCACCTAGTTGTACTCACCTAGTTGAGGTTGCGGGGGTCGAGTCCGAGCTCCTGGCCCCGCCTCTTCACTGATCGCTACTAGGTCACTCTCCCTGAGCCGTGAGCTTTATCATACCTCTGCTTAAAGCTATGTATGGATCCTGCCTCCACTACATCGCTTCCCAAACTATTCCACTTACTGACTACTCTGTGGCTGAAGAAATACTTCCTAACATCCCTGTGATTCATCTGTGTCTTCAGCTTCCAACTGTGTCCCCTTGTTACTGTGTCCAATCTCTGGAACATCCTGTCTTTGTCCACCTTGTCAATTCCTCTCAGTATTTTGTATGTCGTTATCATGTCCCCCCTATCTCTCCTGTCCTCCAGTGTCGTCAGGTTGATTTCCCTTAACCTCTCCTCGTAGGACATACCTCTTAGCTCTGGGACTAGTCTTGTTGCAAACCTTTGCACTTTCTCTAGTTTCTTTACGTGCTTGGCTAGGTGTGGGTTCCAAACTGGTGCCGCATACTCAATATGGGCCTAACGTATACGGTGTACAGGGTCCTGAACGATTCCTTATTAAGATGTCGGAATGCTGTTCTGAGGTTTGCTAGGCGCCCATATGCTGCAGCAGTTATTTGGTTGATGTGCGCTTCAGGAGATGTGCCTGGTGTTATACTCACCCCAAGATCTTTTTCCTTGAGTGAGGTTTGTAGTCTCTGACCCCCTAGACTGTACTCCGTCTGCGGCCTTCTTTGCCCTTCCCCAATCTTCATGACTTTGCACTTGGTGGGATTGAACTCCAGGAGCCAATTGCTGGACCAGGTCTGCAGCCTGTCCAGATCCCTTTGTAGTTCTGCCTGGTCTTCGATCGAGTGTATTCTTCTCATCAACTTCACGTCATCTGCAAACAGGGACACCTCAGAGTCTATTCCTTCCGTCATGTCGTTCACAAATACCAGAAACAGCACTGGTCCTAGGACTGACCCCTGCGGGACCCCGCTGGTCACAGGTGCCCACTCTGACACCTCGCCACGTACCATGCCTCGCTGCTGTCTTCCTGACAAGTATTCCCTGATCCATTGTAGTGCCTTCCCTGTTATCCCTGCTTGGTCCTCCAGGGTGTGTGTGTGTGTGTGTGTGTGTTGTGTGTGCGTGTGTGTGTGTGTGTGTGTGTGTGTGTGTGTGTGTGTGTGTGTGTGTGTGTGTGTGTGTGTGTGTGTGTGTGTGTGTGTGTGTGTGTATGTGTGTGTATTTTGCCGAAGAGGCGAGTTTGGTTTAAAAAACAACTGTCATTTTTTTCGATTAAGCAGAGTGAAAAAATATGCAATAAATCGGCGAGAATCAGTCAGAACATAACGAATAAAGAAGTAACTTTCATCATTCACTCCATCACTGTCTTGCCAGAGGCATGCCTACACTACAGTTAAAGACTGCAACATATCAACACCCCTCCTTTAGAGTGCAGGCACTGTACTTCCCACCTCCAGGACTCAAGTCCAGCTAACCGGTTTCCCTGAATCCCTTCATAAATATTACTTTGCTTACACTCCAACAGCACGTAAAGTCATAGAGGCCATTTGTTTCCACTCGCTATCAAACATGCTCACACATAAACCATACCACGGGCGGGGATAGAACCCGCGAACAGAGAGTCTCAAAATTCCAGACCGTCGCGTCAGCCAGTGGTTAACGCGACGGTCTGGAGTTTTGAGACTCTCTGATCGCGGGTTCTATCCCCGCCCGTGGTATGGTTGTTTGCAATCGTGTCATTGCGATTTCGCGAGTCATTCTCACATACGCTTGCTGGAAGTCTAAGCTCCTCAAACACAAAACCTCCTTGACCCCCTCCCTACAACCGTTCCCAGGAGGACCCCTACCCTGCCTTCCTTCCACTACAGATTTATTTGCCTTCCAAATCATTCTATTTTGTTCTAATCTCTCTAAATGTGCAAACCCCCTCAACAGTTCTTCCTCGGCCTTCTAAATAATACGTTTATTAACTCCACACCTCTTCCTGATTGCCACAGTACGTATTCTCTGCATTATATACACACCACACATCGCCCTCATACACGACATCTCCACTGCTTCCAGCTTTCTATTTGTTGCAACATTCACCATCCATGCTTCACACCAATATAAGAGCGTTGGTACCACTATACTTTCACACATTCCCCTCTTTGCTTCCACAGATAACGTTCTTTTCTCCACAGACTCCTCAGTGCACCACTTACATTTTTTCCTTCATCAATTCTATGATTCACCTCGTCTTTCATAAACTCATCTGCTGGCAAGTCCACTCCCAAATATCTGTATAGTTAGTAAAATATAGCAATGCTATATTATACTAAATATATGTATATGTATTATATACGTATACTAAATGTATATAATATAGTATTGGTATATTATGCATATAGTTAGTATACATTATACTTGAAGGTAGGAGAGAGGATTGATAAGTTATTTTTTTCTTCCTCAGTGCCCACAGCAGAGCTGCTGGGAGACGGTGAGGTCTACCTAGACCGAGGAAGCACTCTCAACCTCACTTGTGTGGTACACTTCAGCCCTACGCCCCCAGAGTTCATCCTGTGGTACCACCGCGATAAGGTAGGTCCGTTATGCCACCACGATAAGGTAAGTCCATCATGATGAAGTAGGTAGGAAATGGAAGGTAGGTCCAGTTCCTCGTATTAAGAACACTTCACTGGCATCAAAACATCTCATTTCCCCCTCCATCCACTCCTTTAAGGGACAAAGTTATTAATTCAAGCATTCTAATACAGACCCTCTGAACTATATGTCAAGCGACGGCTGATGCGAAATGTAAGGAGTGAAGAATAAAAATCACAATAACGTGGCTGAAGCAATTCACGGATTACCTATAATTTAGTAAGCAAACTTAAGACGACTTCCCGGTTTGAACTGAAGCATTACTATTAAGCAAACATTTAAACGCCAGACTTCTGGGAATAGAGCTCATAAGGCGAAGACCGTCGTAGCTTTCCAAAAGCAACAACGACAACAGACATTATTAGTTCGCGAGTGAGAGAGAAAAGGAAAGAAAGTTTGAAGGCAGATTATCTGAAGAGGCAAGTGAAAACCAAGCTAAGGTGAAGCGTAGAACATGAGAACTGTTTCAATACAGAGAATGTTTAGTTCGATTTCTAGGGACTGAACCGAGAGCAACAGTACTGTTGAGTGGTCAGCCTAAAGGAATAGAAGATCAGGTGGTCAGGGAACGACTCACCGTATAAAGCTTCCGCTAGTTGTCTGCGGTAGTAGAATTCTTTCTTACCTCACCGATACGACTCATAACATTGCAAATATTCCAGTAGTCGTGTTAGGTCGTCAGGCCTTGCATACCTTCCCAGAACGACTTTTAATACTGCAAAGCTTTATAATATCAGTGGTATATAATACCGACAAGCTGAAGAATAAGACATATGCACCAAATAGTTATTTTCATTATGTTGACTTTTTGCCAACCACTAGCTTTATCAGTACAATGAATCTGATGACTCTCAGATTCATCAAAACTACGGTACTGAACGCTTGCTGCTAAGCTCAGGGGCTAATTACCTCATCTTCAACCTCTTCAGTCTTTTGTCCCTATAGTGAATTGATAAAGCCACATAATAAAGATACCCAGTTGTTGCACGTATGTCAAATTCTACAGCTACAAAGCTACCAGGAACTATATTCAGTCGTCAAGCCCTTACCTTCCCAGAATGATTTATAAGGCTACAAAGGTTCCACCATTCGTCTTCCCTTGTTTACCATCCCAGGACGACTTATAACACTCCAAAGGCTCCACCACAGTCGCCTCGGGTTAAGCCTGAGTTTCCTTCCACAGAATGCTGAAAATGCTGCGGCCTCGACGTAATATCCCGTGAGTCATACCAGGAGTGGACTAGCTCAGGGTGGTACAGACGCGTGGAGAAAGGCTAAAGGAAGGAGAACAGAGCAAAGAGAAGAAAAAAAAGTAAAGGAGAGAGAAGACGGAAGGAAAAAGATGGAGAGACGAGAGGATTATTATTATTGTCATGTTCAGGAGAGAGAGATAATGGAGGGAGGAAGGAGAGAAATGAGTAAAGGGTGAAGAGTTGGAAAGGAAAGGAGTGGAAAAGGAAAAAGAAAGGAGAGGGAAAAGAGAAAAGAGATAAGAGTGTGTGTGCGTAAAACAGGAAGGAGATGAGAAAAGAGAAATAAGGGAACAGAGAAGGAGATTAAAGATTAGGAAAGTGGAAGAGGGAGGGGGAAAGGAATAAAAGAAGAGAAAGGGTAAGCAGTCAGGGAGAGGGTGAGTAAAGAGAGGGTAAAGGAAGAGACATTGTAAGGAGAATGAGTGAGATGATATAGAGTGTGAGGAGAGGGAGAGAGCCAGAAGAGATAAAGGGTATGAGAAGAGAAGAAAGGGTAAGGGATGAGAGAAATAAGCAAGAGAGGTGAAAGGCAGAAAATGTAAAAAAAAAAAAAAAAAATAATAGGAAGTAAATGAGAGACCACGATAATAGGTAAGAATACGGAGATGGATGGACAACGGAAAATAACACAAGGAGGGACAGGGAAGAATGAAAAATGAAAATAATTAAAATTAAAGAAATACAAAATAAGGTATGCAACAAGTGAAGATTAATAGACAAGTGAAGATTAATAGACTGAAATCTTGACAGTTTACAGTGTGATGATAAATAGTGAAGAATCAGGCATCAGAACAGAATAAAATGCAGTTTCAACTCGGAATGCATAAAAGAAGAGGAAAAAGAATGAGGGAGGGCGATGAAGTAGAAACAGAGGGAGGGGCGAAGGGAAATATGGAGGGAAGAAAGATATAAGGAAGACAGAGGGAGGGAAGAAGTAAGCAACGATTGAGAATTAAATAAACAAATAATTAAAGTAGAGAACAAAAAGTCACAGTATCGTTACTGGAACAATACACAAATAACCCGCACATGGAGAAGAGCTTACCACGACATTTCGGTCTGCCTTGGACCATGGTCCAAGGCGGACCGAAACGTTGTCGTAAGCTCCTCTTCCCTATATTCGGATTATTTGTGAATTAAAGTAAAAAGTGTAAGTGTACTGAGACTAAATTCACAGTACCAAACACTAGCCACTGAGATATATCTTAACCACTCCTCGGCCGCCAGCTGTCAAGTTTCCCAACAGCAAGTCTTCTATCTCTCTACAACTCTGTATTTATTTACGAAATTCACCTTCAGTAGAGCCTCCTCGATCTTATGCTACCGTCATCCTCCTTACGTGACTGTGTTACAATCTTGACTATGGGTTAACTTTTGCTGATGTCATCCACAAATAATCGCTTGGCTTCATGTCTTCCCCGTGAGTAATCTGATCTTGCTCTCCTCCCTACTTCCGTTTCTACCGTCCACAGTTTCCTGTAGCTTTTCTATGCTGTAATTATTTCTTATGCCTCTCGCCATAAGCTCTTTACATTCATGTATGAACCATAAATGATCTGTGTGTTTACTATTGCCTTTTCATTTTAGGTTTGAAATTTTCTTCCATATACCAGCAGTTCACTGTAAATTGCATATGGTGCATGCGTGTGCGTGTATATGTAAACTTGCGCGTGAGTGCGTGCATGCGTGGTTGCATGTGTGCTCACCTATTTGTGGTTGCAGGGGTCGATTCACATGTCCTGGCACCGCCTCTTTGCTAGTCGCTACTAGGTCCACTCTCTCCCTGCTGCAAGAGGGGAGATTGTTCTACTTCCTGACAAACCTAAGGCTGAAGAAACACTTCCTAACATCCCTATGACTCATCTGAGTCATAAGTGTGTGTGTGTGTGCGTGTGTGTGTGTGTGTGTGTGTGTGTGTGTGTGTGTGTGTGTGTGTGTGTGTGTGTGTGTGTGTGTGTGTGTACGTTTTATCATTGTTCCCTTCAATATTGGCCAGCTAATACCGCCGGTACCAACATTGAGCATTGTCTCCGGGTATTGACGGTTTGTATATTTACGTTCTCCCTTGTCGTGATATATTTTGAAATTTCTACAAAAAAAAAAACATGAATTAGTACGGTTTGGTAGCGTATCTGTCTTGCAGCTGGCAGACGGAGGATCAAGTATCCACAACTCCTTACAATGAATGATCTACACGGTGTAGCGCTTCGTATGAATGGAATATAAATGTAACGAATAATCTTTGAAGACCATTAAGTAACGTCTGCTATAAATGTTATTAGCACGATTTCAAAACAGCTCCCCTGTCATACTCCTGATATTTTTTTCCACTCTTTAGCATGGTGGCTAAAGCTCCCGCTTCACACACGGAGGGCCCGGGTTCGATTCCCGGCGGGTGGAAACATTTCGACATGTTTCCTTACACCTGTTGTCCTGTTCACCTAGCAGCAAATAGGTACCTGGGTGTTAGTCTACTGGTGTGGGTCGCATCCTGGGGGACAAGATTAAGGACCCCAATGGAAATAAGTTAGACAGTCCTCGATGACGCACTGACTTTCTTGGGTTATCCTGGGTGGCTAACCCTCCGGGGTTAAAAATCCGAACGAAATCTTATCTTATCTTATCTTATCTTAACTTTTTACCCAAATTTGAAGTTTCTTTTCCCCGAGATTTTTCGCCATAATTTAGGGTTACTTTTCACCAGAAATTTGGACCACCTTTCACTAAAATTTATATTCAGTTTTCATAAAAATAGAAAACCACCTTTCACCAAAATACAGGGCCACTTTTCTCAAAAATATCCAACAACTTTCCGCTGAAATATCCAACTACTTTTCGCCACACTCTCAAGTTAATTTCTATCAAAAAGTGTATTTAGTTGCTAGACCTTCGTCCTTTTCCCCACAACTAACCAAACTAGCTGACAAATATCCATTTCTTCTTGTCCTACAGCTGGTGAACTATGGTTCTCGCGAGGGACGAGAGATCAAAGTGAGGACTGTACACAAGGGAGACACCACTCGCTCCTCCTTGCTCGTCCACAACGCCACCGTCTGGGACTCCGGCAAGTATTCCTGCAAGCCTTCCAACGCCCAGAAGATCTCCATTGATGTCCATGTTCTAAAGAGTAAGACGAGAAAGATTTTTGCTGTATTGGCAGTGAAAGAGCCATTCTGCTCTCTCTCTCTCCTCTCTCTCTCTCTCTCTCTCTCTCTCTCTCCTGTCTCTCTTTTATCTTTCTACTCTTTCTTCTCTCTCTTTCTCTCTCTCATATGGGCTACCATTGCTCATACCTTTAGATGTAAAGATTTAGTTGGCGCATTTCAGTAAAGGTTTAATATTATGAAAAATATTTATACGTAGATCCCAGTAATAACATGTTCAGTAATTAAAGTTGTAGCAGTAATTCAGCATTATGAAATGAGCTGTGGGCAGTGTTAATAATGATGATTACCTGCAGTATACCCAGCCCAGGTAGATTATACGTGTTTCATGTTACCTGTATATCTTTCAGTGTGTTTACACTGGAAATTGTATGTCTCGGTGTATATACACCGAGAAGTACGTCTCACTGTACATACACTGTGAGGTATATGTATCATGATATATCCACAGATGTACAACTCTCAGTGATTATAAGCTGAGAATTTACTTTTTGCCTAATGGATTACAGCATTCCTGATATGAGTGAACAAGTGATTTGCGGCCTTAATGACGCACTTTCAGTTGACAGACTTTAAATCTGCAAAACTAACAAATTAACAAAGCAATTTAAAGTGCTTTTGTGTTCTGCAGGCGAGACCCCAGCAGCCATGCAGACTACCACCAGCAGCGGCATCAGCCTTCTGCTGTCTCCAGCCCTCGTCACCGCCTGCTGCACCCTCGCCGCTGTCTCTCACACGCCCCATGCCACCTCTTTATTCTTCTTTATCTCCTCGTGTCTCTCGCTCTCCCTTTTCACTCTTTTCACCAACAGATAAGAGACAGGACCAATCGCACCTTGTCGGCGGCTGCGTACTCGCTTCGTGGCACCCGGGAGAGGGGCTCGAGCTTGAAGGCGGATTACAAGGAGGGAGCAGTAGCCACTCAGTGCCAGACACAAGGCAGAGAGCGCCGGTGCCAGACACGGCAGAGAGTGCCAGTGCCAGACACACGGCTGAGAGTGCTATTAACAAACACCACGGCCGAGAGTGCCAGTAGTTAGCTATATATCCAATTAGAGAACAGACGTATGCCGTACTGTTGAGTCGCAGTTATGTGTAAAAACAACCAACAAATGGCTGTATACTTGATGACAATCTGGTCAGCAAAGGTTCAGTGTTTTACCTTTTATTTTGTTGTACTCGTTTTCTTCTGTAGCTTCGTACTACCGTCTGCTGGTTAGCTCTCATCATGCGTTGTGTATCTCTTCGCCAAATCATTACCTCTGCATGCTCTCTATTTTCCAGTTCTTCCTGAAAAGCTAACCTGACGAGGAAATGAGGTGAAATAACTCAAGAAACCATTTCAGCTCGTCTTCAGAATTAGTATTCACAGATAAGGGAACTTTTGTTCGCATTTGTATATAAATACGCACAAAAACGGGGAAAACTTAATCCTTTAACTTTCCTGATGCTAAAAACGTAAGCTGCAAGTTTTCTCTGTTATAATAAACAGTGCTCTTTTTCCTTCAACATTTTATTATTTATAATCTTATTTAAAAACAATCCCGTGAACGTATTTATTTTTACTAATTTATGGGTTATATGTAAATCCCTAATCTATAGCACAATGTTCAAACTCTAAGATAATATTGTGAAATGATGCAGACTGAATAGATTCAGTAACTTATTTATTCAAGTCAAAACCACCTCAGTTGGAAATTATTGCAATCCAAGAGCATCACAAAATAGACGAATAGTTTAATCTCAATTCCAAACACTTCACAGGCTCAACTTTGACACCTGGTTCGGGGGTTTATAGATTCGGTCAACTTGATCCTGTTACCGCGAACATCAAACGGAATGAGCCGCTGTCATCCCGTGATTTGGAAATGAAACGAACGGGAGCAATCTCAGTCCGCGGTTCCAACATCAAACAGACAGGTCGGACCTCATTACCTCAGTCCATCAAAGTGAGAAGATGGAAATGTGACGCCCTGTAGGTGTTGCAACTTCCGGGCTTCAGTTGTTGAAGGATCTCTGATCTTTAATTGTTGGTCTTCTGGTCATCATGTGCTGGAAGACTTCCGGTCATCAAATCCTCTTTCTTCTCACCCATTTCCCCGCAAACCTTCCCTTTCCCCCTCTTTATATTTTTTCTATAAGGCCTTTCAGACTTAAATTTTTTAAAATATACAACTAAAATTCTGTAAAGTAACTGTATATATTTTTTTGTACATGTTGTATGTAGTGAACCGAAGAGAAACATTCATGTATTAACAGATGTTTTTATCCTGAAGTATTAGAAATTTACTGATTATGCTTACAGACAATTAATATTAAATTTACGAACAGCGAATTTAGGATGTTTATATTTTCTATACAATTTTTTTCTGCGATTTTACCCTTACATAATCCTCTCAGGTCAATTAGTTAGTATTTTTGCACAAGAATACTAAAACATTAAATAGTGTGATGAAAGAATCGCGGATGATTCGGGAATCAAAAGAAATATTCCTCATCGGGAACTGTTCATCTAAGGATTTGGGAATAAAAAAAAAAATCCTTAGCGTTAGGAATGGTTCAGCAAATTATTTGAAGACTAACGTATATTTTCTTATCAGAAACACAAGTGTGTCAGTGAACAACAACGCGAGACAAATTAAGAAACAACGATTTAGAAATAAAAATATGAGAAGAATGCGAGTTCAAAACAAAAATATCAAGTTTGAGAGGTTTAACTGAGGTTTGATGCACGGAATGGGCCCCGCGGGTTCAATGTTTATCAGAGAATATGATACTAATAATCGACTGGGCTTTTAGGTAGGCGGCTAGAATTATCATATACAGCGATCATGACAAGCTATCGTTTTAGTCTAGTTTCCAAGCATTACGATCAAATTCAAGTTATTAATAACCTAACCATTACACTGTAACAGTACTGATAGAATACTTCGTTTATAGATTACATTAATTTAAGCTACTCTGAATATAAGAGTAGTGATTTAAATCTACAGTAAACTTAAAATACTGCAAATATAGGTAAGCTTCAGGGCTAAGATGGCCAGACATATCAGTGGGAAAGTTACGGTGAAAGATAAAACTGTTTATTAGGTCAGTCGCCCCTCAGCGGGCGAAACGATTCCTAATTTATGTCGTCAGTGATGGATTCGTGTCTTTATTTCACAGCTTGTCAGTAATGATACATCTTATAGGTGTATCGAGTCAGATGTGTAGGTTCTCACACACGCAAATATTTTTTTAAATCAACAATCATTCAAACTCTAGATGATGTAAATAACGGAAGATATATGACGATAATAAAGGAGTTAGCTTTGACTATTCTTCAATTAGATAACATTTTGAATTACCTCAAAATACTCCATACAGCTTCCTCGAGAGTAGCCATCAACAGCATCTCTCATCATAGGGCGTCAAACAGTTCTTTGGCGGAAAATGATAAGCTGTAAGGACTAACTCATCCTCCTCGAACACGCAAGATGATCTCTGTCGTTGAGAAGATTCTGTAGGAATTTTATCAAGTCCAAGTCGGAGTCCCTTCAGCATATAAAAGCCTTCGAAATTACCAGTAAACTGACGGCTACCTTCACCTCCGAGGTCAACAAAGGACTGACAGTTCCCATCAGCTTCCTCGAGGCGTGTCACCTGTGTGTCTAAGGACGCTCCTCCTAATTACCTAGGGTCCATAAATAGTTTTTTTTCCTGGAAGCAGAGAACGTTACGGTTTCTGTCTCGGGAGTAATTATTGCACATAAATCTCTTGCCCTGAAGCTTCGTACATTTTGGCGACTTTTGCAGCTCGGAAACTCGTCATTTTATATATTTTTTATAACACTGTATTATCGTGTGGAACATATTTTATCTGCGCAGGTGTTAGGTAGGGATCACTTCTGACGTCATAACAAGTACACACACACACACACACACACACACACACACACACACACACACACACACACACACACACACCGCTGCAGCATACGGGCGCCTGGCAAACCTGAGAATAGCGTTCCGATACCTTAATAAGGAATCGTTCAAGACACTGTACACTGTGTATGTTAGGCCCATACTGGAGTATGCAGCACCAGTCTGGAACCCACAACTGGTCAAGCACGTCAAGAAGTTAGAGAAAGTGCAAAGGTTTGCAACAAGGCTAGTCCCAGAGCTCAAGGGAATGTCATACGAGGAAAGGTTAAGGGAAATCGGACTGACGACACTGGAGGACAGAAGGGTCAGGGGAGACATGATAACGACATACAAGATACTGCGGGGAATAGACAAGGTGGACAGAGATAGGATGTTCCAGAGAGGGGACACAGGGACAAGGGGTCACAACTGGAAGCTGAAGACTCAGGCGAGTCACAGGGACGTTAGGAAGTATTTCTTCAGTCATAGAGTTGTCAGGAAGTGGAATAGCCTAGCAAGTGAAGTAGTGGAGGCAGGAACCATACATAGTTTTAAGAAGAGGTATGACAAAGCTCAGGAAGCAGAGAGAGAGAGGATCCAGTAGCGATCAGTGAAGAGGCGGGGCCAGGAGCTGAGTCTCGACCCCTGCAACCACAATTAGGTGAGTACAATTAGGTGAGCACACACACACACACACACACACACACACACACACACACACACACACACACACACACACACTAGAGAAAGTGCAAAGGTTTGCAGTAAGACTAGTCCCAGAGCTAAGAGGTATGTCCTAAGAGGAGAGGTTGAGGGAAATCAACCTGACGACACTGGAGGACAGGAGAGATAGGGGGGACATGATAACGACATACAAAATACTGAGAGGAATTGACAAGGTGGACAATGACAGGATGTTCCAGAGATTGGACACAGTAACAAGGGGACACAGTTGGAAGTTGAAGACACAGATGAATCACAGGGATATTAGGGAGTATTTCTTCAGCCACAGAGTAGTCAGTAAGTGGAATAGTTTGGGAAGCGATGTAGTGGAGGCAGGATCCATACATAGCTTTAAGCAGAGGTATGATAAAGCTCATGGTTCAGGGAGAGTGACCTAGTAGCGACCAGAGAAGAGGCGGGGCCAGGAGCTCGGACTCGACCCCTGCAACCTCAACTAGGTGAGTACACACACACACACACACACACACACACACACACACACACACACACACACACACACACATACACATACACACACACACACACACACACACACACACACACACACACAGCTGTGACTCAACCCCCGCAACCACAACTAGGTGAGTACTTGGTGAGTACACATACACACAACCTAAGAATAGCGTTTCGACACCTTAGTAAGGAATCGTTCAAGTCTCTGTACAAAGAGTACGTCAAGTCTGTATTGGAATATGCAGCACCAGTATGGAACCCACACCTGTGTCAAGCACGTCAAGGAATTAGAGAAAGGGCAAAGGTTTGCAACAAGACTAGTCCCTTAACTAAGGGGCATCTCCTACGACGAGAGGTTAAGGGAAAAAGACCTGACGACATTGGAGGACATGATAAAGACAAAATACTGAAAGGAATTGACAAGATGGCTAGGGATAGGATATTTCAGAGGGGACACAACAACAAGGGGTCACAACCGGAAGTTGAAGATTCAGATGAGTCACAGATGTTAGGTTGTATTTCGTCAGTCATAAAGTTGTCAGGAAATGGAACAATCTGGAGGCAGGATCCATATACAGCTTTAAGAAGATATACGATACAACTCATGGAGCAGCGCGAGAGCGGATCTAGTAGCTACCAGCGAAGAGGTGGAACCAGTAACTGTGACTCGACTCCTGCAACCGCAAATAGGTACGTACGTACACACACACACACACACACACACACAAACTAAAATATTTGAAATTAATATCCCCTGGGCTTTAAAAAAATATAAGACCCAGGGGAAACATAACAACATTTAAGATAATCAAGTGAAAGGGCGAGTATAACCAGACTGCAGGCAGGGAAATGGGCGCAATGGAGGAAAAAAATGTAGAACATAAATTGGGAAATATTTTTTAAGCCTCGTGTTGGCTGAGTAGTGGAATGACTTCTATGAAGAAGTGGAGGACAACTCTAAACCTCAGTTTTGCAAATATGAATGATAGGAACTTTAGAGATACATATAGGAAGAATAGGTGGTAAGGAACAAGTATTTGGAAATTTATATCTAATACAGAATAATCTATAGAAATGATCCGTAGAAAATCTTAAGACGGAAATACACGTGTTCATGATGGTACTGATTCATCCCGAAACAGTACGCAACATGATGCGTCTGATGGTACTGATTCATCCCGAATCAGTGCGTATCATGATGCGTCTAATGGTACTGATTCATCCCGAATCAGTACCATCAGACGCACTTTAAAAAATATATACTGAAAAACTTTGAAAATAAGAAAGTTAAAACTATCTTGAACTTCCTAATATAACTTAATGTTTATAAAAGAGAAAAGTTTCTATGTTACTTTGAAAGAGTAAGTTAAACTTAGTGAAGTAGCAATATTTTTTATCGCACTGCATACCTAAAGTAGAAAAAAATACAAAACCGTAACTGGAACAATATGTAAATAACACACACACAGAGGAGACAAACCAATGTTGACGTTTCGGTCTGACGTGGACCATTAACTTAGGTGGCTAGTGATGGTCGAAGTCCGAACGAAACGTTGTCATTAATTTCAGTTTCCTATATATTATTATTATTAATGCACCCATGGCAAGCGCTGATCCCCTGTGGATTATTTACCAACAGGTTACGTTATAGTTGCAAAAAAAAAAAAACGTTTAAACTAACAAGCTGTTAATCGAACCAGGTAAACCAAGTAAAACAAACCTTGTTAATTTAATCCTTGAATGTAGACTGGCACTGTTAACTTACCCAGGTATGATGTAAAATTAACACTCACTATTAACGTGAGTCTTTTGCTTTGTAATACTTAAAACAACAGCCACCACGAGACTTTCCACAAACTTCTGACATTGTGTTAGTTATTTCTCCATCAAATGTTTATTAATACATTTCGAAACAGTTGCTGTTTTAACACACATTTAAATTTCGTTAGAAATATAGCTTCAGGATATTTAGAAAATATGGATATCTCTCTTCTGTTCAGAGGATAAGGATGTTCTTCACTGTAATATATATATACATATATGTATGTAGAGTGATAATGTTAACACTGGTGTAATGGTCAGTGACACGTATGATTGTATACCATGTACAAATACAATAGTCGTTTACAAGGAGTCCACAGTCTCTCGTGTATATAGAAAAAGTAGAGACGAATCTTTATGTCATGTCTCCCTTTAATTCTCATGTACCGAAAAAACAGAAAACTCCCTTTATTGGCTGTCTGTCTTCCTGTGAGTTTCGCCTTAAATATTTAAGTGTGTGTATGTGTGTGTGTATGTGTGTAAAGAGGTAAATATCAAAGGGAGCGAAAGAGAGAGAGAATGGGAATTTGGAATGCCTCTTAGACATCACATCTGAGTGTTATATATCGGATAATGCGAAATCATGTACATGACTAAATATACTACACGTCATTCGTTTTAATTATCAGCCATACTTCCAGAACATCAGGGTTTGTATTAGTTATAAGAATACCGCTTGATACTTCCTATAATAGCCAGAGTCGGCGAACGAGGCTGCAACACCAGCTGATAGATGCATTTCTGCAACACTCAAGGTATGTGTTGCAAGCTAATTGGTTCTTCACAAGGAACACTCATCACAACACACGTCTGCGTGAAAGTAAAAAAAAATAGTGAATGTAGTACAAAGATTAGAACTGCCAACCTAGCAGATGGAAGACAAAGTCTCACCAACAGGAATGATTCAATTTACTGGATTCCTGATAACCAATTCGCTATTCATGATATTTGATTCATGATTAATGATTCTGATTATTGAGTAATTATTCAGAAGTTCTCGGCATCACGTAGTAGCAGTAATCATTTTTTATCAAGTCTGAATATAGAGGTAGCGAAAGAAAAGTCGTAACCGATACATTTAGTTCACAAAACTGTTGATATTTTCAAGCATTGAAATAAAGCTTCATAGAGTTGAACCTGGGCTTTCACTTTGTGAACTGAGTGAGAAGCTAAGTATAATGTAGAGGACAAGGTAGAGTTAAAGTGCTCTTGTTGTAGAGTAGGTCCCGAAGGAAGATTGGAGGAATAAGAGGAAAGTGAGAGAAAGTGGCAGTGGAGGATCACGATGAGCGAAGACGGTTAAGAAGTGATCATAGAAGAGGATTTGCCGATAGTTAATAAACACGAATCCAGAGGACAAGCACAAAAAAAATGTGAAAAAATGTATAAGTACAAGGAAAGAAAATTGTAGGGGTGATTATTACGTTACTATAACTGGCTGGTCAACTTCCACCTGACAGCCCACATATACAACAGTAATTACCACTAATTATTCCATCTCAGAAATACGTATTATGATCCTAAACTTTTTCTATACTACCCATATCTTAAAATCTTTGGATTCAATACCATTATTTCACAAAATAGTACAATTAGAACGAAGGGTTTTCTTAGATTATTTCCATATAAGGATAGTTGTATCACGGAAACACAATATACACTGGGATGGAAATAGTTTTGCCACAAAATTTATGACACTGGCAGAAATAAGGCACAATACATGTTTCAGGGATACAGAGAGGTCACGCTGGTCGCCTCTGAGCTCTCCAAAGTTTTCAGCTCCGTCTCTGTCGTCTTAACGTCCTCTGTTCCAGTATGTTAGGTTATATATTTATCAGGGAAAAATCTCCTGACACGGGTCTTATTCAAATAAATATCTCTTTGTTCCGCCTCTCCTGACTTATATATACACAAAGCCACTCAAGTCATAGCCAAACAAACAAAACACAAGCCAGAACTTGCAGTTCTCTTAAATAGCCACATCCTCAAGTGCATTAATCATTTCCCACTGGCTGTTTATATATATATATATATATATATATATATATATAATATATATATATATATATATATATATATATATATATATATATATATATATATATATATATATATATAATATATGTATATCCTTCTCTTGTAATTATAGCTTATACGAGTCTACAAGACTACGTGGAGTAATTTTCTGAAACCTTCACGTCTCACCTCCTGTGTATACCCTAGTGAGAGTCACAGTGACCTTCGCAACTTTCCTCTCTCCTCGTTCAGTTTCATACAGCTACATGTCGCTAATTTTAAGAGGAAAACCAAAATAAAATGATATTCCATATCGTAATACGACCCCATCTCACCGAGTGGAAAAAGTGTATCAGTATAGAGTTGATAACCAATGAAATATCTGATGCAACACATTCTGGGCTTCATGCTGAACATATTTATGTATTGAAGATGTATTGGAGAAAAACGTACATGTACAATTTTGCGGATGTTTCTTTTGCGGATGACACCCGAATTGCCATGACAGTTTCCTCCATCGAAAACACCGCAAGACTCCAAGTGGACATCAACCAAATCTTCAATTGGACCACTCAAAGCAATATGAAGCTCAATGAAGAGAAATTTCAGCTACCCAGATACGGAAAACTTAAAGAAATTAAAACTGTATCAGGGTACATAACAAATTCTAACCATACAATAGAGCGAGAAAGTAATGTGAAGGACCTGGGAGTGATAATGTCAGAGGATCTCACCTTCAAAGACCATAACAATGTATCTACAGCATCTGCTAGAAAAATGACAGAATGGATAATAGCAACCTTCAAAACTAGGGACGCCAAGCCCATGATGATACTCTTCAAATCGCTTGTTTTATCTAGGCTGGAATACTGCTGTACGCTAACTATCCCCTTCAAGGTAGGTGAAACTGTCGACCTGGAGAGTGTACAAAGAACTTTCACGAAACACATAAGTACGATAAAGCACCTAAATTACTGGGAAAGGTTGAATCCCTTGATTTGCATTCCCTGGAACGCAGGCGAGAGAGATGCATGATAATATACACTTGGAAAATCCAAGAGTGATTAGTACCAAACTAGCACACGAAAATCACTCCCTATGAAAGCAAAAGACTCGGCAGGAGATGCAACATTCCCCCAATGAAAAGCAGGGGCACCACGAGTACACTGAGAGACAACACAATAAGTGTTAGGGGCCCAAGACGGTTCAAATGCCTCCCAGCATACATAAGGGGGATTACCAACAGACCTCTGACTGTCTTCAAGTAGGCACTAAACAGGCACCTAAAGTCAGTACCTGACCAGCCCAGCTGTGGTTCATACGTCAGTCTGCATGCGGCCAGCAGTAACAGCCTCTTGGATCAGACCCTGATCCACCTGGTCTCAGACCGGGCCGCGGTTTGTGTACTAGTTTGGCACTATTGAAATCCTCTGTGTTGAAGGTGTACCTGTGTGTTTAAATGTTATGGAAAGAATATCTCGCTGACAGGTGGGTCGCACTGTATTAAATACAGTCTAATCCATCATTAAGTGGGAAGTGTCAGAGTTCACAGGGAAAATGTGTATTTCGCATTCAACCCATCCCAACACTAATAGGTAGGTGGGTGTTACAGTCCCCAGGAAAACTGGTGTCAGAGCCCACATGGAAAGCGTGGGTTTCCGCTGTAGATGTGGGTCATATAAGAGTTGCTCACCTTTGTGGATCTATTTTGTTGTGTATATGTCTGATGCCTTAGGGTTGAAGAATTACTACATCGCATTATCTAGCTAAAAATACATACACCTTAGGTAACTAAAAATAGGTTGAATAAATATATAAATGAGAAGGGCTGGGTTTAAGAATAACTTGCATAGGCCAGTAGGGTCTACTTCATTCCTACTCTAATCTTATGTTCGAATAACAGTAACTATATTGAAATGCTGTCTAAAACACTTTGTGGTGTATGAATATTTTACAATGGAAAACATTGCATGTGTATCCATCCTTATATTGTTTTTATTTATAAGAATGAAAAGTTTGTCATACTGAACAATTTATATGTATATAGTGTAATGAATATTACGTTAGCCTCTGTACATTTTCACACTTAAAAAATAAAGATGACAACATTTAGAAAGGGAACGACACGAGGATTTCATTTAACCTTGTATATTCCGCTGTTTGTGGAAATTGTGGATCAGACTACACAACAATACTGTGGACGAGGCTACACAACAATACGGAGGACAGTGCTACATAACAATACTGTGGAAGAGGCTACACAATACTGTGGACGAGGCTACACAACAATACTGTGGACGAGGCTACACACCAATACTGTGGACGAGGCTACACAACAATACTGTGGACGAGGCTACACAACAATTCTGTGGACGGCGCTATATAATGCTGTGGACGAGGCTACACAACAATTCTGTGGACGGCGCTATATAATGCTGTGGACGAGGCTACACAATATTGTGGACAAGGGTGTGCTTAAGACCGGTCTCTCTTCTGTGGACTTTTTGAAGAGAACAATCGACATAAACGCCTTGCATCAAGTACCATATTAAAGTAATCGCTGACCGTACTGGTGCTGGTGTACAGGTGCTGGGAATGAGTGACTAAGACATCATCGACGTACATAATGGTTGTAATAATAACTAAACATCCGCTAGCGTAAAAGTATTGAGTCATATAACATTACAAAGACACAAGCATTTCATTAATTTAATCTCCAGGAACATCGGACAGACGCACAAGCATTGCTCTGTTTGTCCTTCAGCAACATTATACAGGCACAACCTTTCCGTCAGTTTAAGACCGTCCTCCAGAGACGTGTTCCCGTTAACTGACCAAAGTTGAGTGCAGATGTCACACTGCTTGGCTGCTGCTCTTGACATCCAATTTGTACCTTATTTGCATTTCTACCTGCTGCCCCAAACACCCTCTTCCCCCTGACCCCTGCCATGTACCTACTGATTCTCCCCAACCTTCCCAAAGCCCTCACCTCGGCCTAGTTCCGACTTGCCCCCCCTCCTCCTCCTTTTAATTCTTCACATTGATCTTTAAACAAATCATCCCCTTCAAACAACACTCTTTCACCTTTCAAAATCTTCCCCTTCCATCATTTCCAAACTCCTCCACCTGGGCTCTGTTCCTCCTTCCTATAACACCCTCTAAAGTTCCCCAACTCTGGAATGACTTTATTTGTTGAGAGATGAATAGAAACGTCGAATAGCAGAAAAGCAACTGACTTTTTTGTATAAAAAGAACTGATGAGAAAGGACATTTGTGTGCTCAAAAACACGAAGAATAACATTAAAGGACTGAATTATTAGTCCAAGAAAAGGAATGACAATAAAAAACATACTGAAGACTGATGGTTGATATAATGCAGCAAAACACCAATGAGAACTTGTGTTAAGAAGGAAGTTTGATTTAATTGTGAACTTGACAGGTGTAATAGTTCTACTTATGTGAGTGGTTTCTTATGTTTACACAGTGGTGTTTCGCCCCTTGTTCTCTCTCTCTCTCTGCCCATATTCCGTGTACACATTCTGCGTACATACTCTCCTTCACTGAATACAGTTACCCTCACCATGTGCACTAATATCCTTCCCGTGAACGCAGACACCCTCCCCGTGTACACACACATCCTCGTCATGTACGCGCTTATACAAACACACTGTTATCCTGCCTCTGTACTAAGTAAAGGCAAGTCTTCATCCTACCCCATAATTACTTAGTACTGAGGAAGTCATGCTATTTGCTCTTTCAGTTATACATTATTAACACTTATTTATAATTTATGCCATGCTCTTAAGTAATATATTGTTACTGAATATTTGCACGTTTATACATGTTTAAATAGGCAGACGTTAGAGGAGTCAAAAAATTGCGTGTATGTAAGAAGTAAATAATTTCAGTGAATGCAGCTGTTGTGTAAAAAAAATAAATAGTAATGATATTACTAACACGGTTGATGGTGCGGTCACAAGGATGTGGTTGATACTTAAGTTGGGTAATTAGGTATAAAGTTTATAGACTACACGAGGGTCATTCAGGTAGCATGGCATCTGTACATTACCAGTCAAGGACACTTAAATCCCTAGAACAGGCCTGACACACGCATAGACCACTGTTCGAGTTCCCGTCCACACTTCTCTTTTTTTCATATATATATATATATAATATATATATTATATATATATATAATATATATATATAAATATATATATAATATAATATATATATATATATATATATATATATATATATATATATATATATATATATGCGTGTGTGTATGTGTGTATGTGGTGTGTTTATATTTTTAATGTGTGTGTGTGTATGTGTGTATGTGTGTATGTGTGTACTCACCTAGTTGACCTAGTTGAGGTTGCGGGGGTCGAGTCCGAGCTCCTGGCCCCGCCTCTTCACTGATCGCACTAGGTCACTCTCCCTGAGCCGTGAGCTTTATCGTACCTCGGGCTTAAAGCAAATGTAGGATCCTGCCTCCACTACATCGCTTCCCAAACTATTCCACTTACTGACTACTCTGTGGCTGAAGAAATACTTCCAAAACATCCCTGTGATTCATCTGTGTCTTTAGCTTCCAACTGTGTCCCCTTGTTACTGTGTCCAATCTCTGGAACATCCTTTTTTGTCCCCCTTTGTCATTCCTCTCAGTATTTTGTTTTGTCGTTATCATGTCCCCCCTAATCTCTCCTGTCCTCCAGTGTCGTCAGGTTGATTTCCTTAACCTCTCCTCGTAGGACATACCTTTTAGCTCTGGACTAGTCTTGTTGCAAACCTTTGCACTTTCTCTAGTTTCTTTACGTGCTTGGCTAGGTTGGGTTCCAAACTGGGGGCCGCATACTCCAAATGGGCCTAACGATACGTGACAGGGTCCTGAACGATTCCTTATTAAGATTTTCGGAATGCTGTTCTGAGGTTTGCTGGGCCGCCCATATCTGCAGCAGTTATTTGGTTGATGTGCGCTTCAGGAGAT